TGGGCACCATGAACTGAAACAAAGAGAGGAGAAGGAAGTTTCCCTTCTCTCCTTTTTTTATCTTGGTTCCAAGAAATGATCCTGGGATGTTGATTTCTATTCTGTGTTGTTTGTCCTTTTCAGTTTTAGGTGCCAGAGGTGATCCCTATGGGAATGGGGAAGTGAAGCCACAGTGACTGTGGAACCAGGATTCCAGGATGGAATGTACTGCCAGACAAGCCAGCAAGGAAGCCCTGAGAAGTCAGGGTACCTGAGGCTTGAGCCTGAGGTAGGCATTGGGTTTGGAAATGGAACTTTGCCCTATAGGGACCAAGCTAAGATATGAATCTAATCTCCTTCCCTTCCCCCGAGACTGAGGTGGTATAAGGGAGAAGGGAATTAAGTCCCATAGTTGGGAGTAAGTTTATGTTTGTGATTATATCTTTTGAAGTAAATATTCCTTTGTAAAAGGGAATCTGGTTGTTAGTGGCTAAATGGAACTGGGATGCAAAGGCACTACCCTGTACAATTGAGGTAACAGTATTGTTGGGGAAGGGAGTCATTTACGGAAAGTGTAGATACCCCCAGATCCTCTTAGAGGTACCAGAAAACTCTGGAGGAGAATTGAGATATAATATACCCAGTTTCCAGGCTATGAGGGTCACAGTGGCTGTATTATAAGTGTAAATGGAATTTGCAAACCATAAATTTAAATATCAATATCAACAACTATTCCTGGTAAAGTCATATAAGCTCTCTCTGGGTTTCTGTCATTCTTGACTCTTTACTATCCTTTACCCCTCCCCACACTCCCATATCCAATCTGTTGTCAAGGCCTGTTGATTTCACCTTTGCAGCATCTTTCAAATATGTCCCTTTCTCTGTTCTAACACTGCCATGACCCTGGTACAGGTCCTTATAACTTCACAAGTGGACTATTACAATAGATTATTGGTGGGTCTGCCTGCCACAAGTTTTTCCCCACTTCATCCATCTTCCATTCAACTGCTAGAGTTACTTTCCTAAAGTGCAGGTCTGATGACTTCACCCCCGTATTTAATAAACCCCAGTGGCTCCCTATCACCTCCCGGATCAAATTTAAAATTCTCCATTTGGCATTCAAAGCCCTTCCTAATTGAGCTTTCCTCCCACCTTTACAATCTTCTTACACTTTACTCCCCACCACATACTATTCTTAGATCCAGGGACACTGGCCTCCTGGCTGTTCCATGAACAAGACACTCCACCTTTTAGCTCTGGGCATTTTCACTGGCTGTCGCCCATGCCTGGAATGTGTTGCCTCTTCTCATCTCTTCGTCCTTGTTTCCCTTACTTCCTTCGAGTCTCAACTAAAATCTCACCTTCTACTGGAAGCCTCTTCCAGTCCTTCTCAATTCTAGTGTCCTCCCTCTATTATTTCCTGTTTATCTTGAATATAGCTTGTTTGTACATACTTGTCTTGATTGTTGTCTTCCCATTAAATTGTGAGCTCCTTGAGAGCAGGGTCTGTCTTTTGCTTCTTTTTTATAACCCCAGTTCTTAGCACAGTGCCTACCTAGCATATACTAAGAGCTTACTCAATGTTTTTTGGCTACCTTCACTTTCCTCATCTCTGAAAGGAGGGTGGTGAACTTGTCACCAGAAGATATCCAAAGTCCCTTCCATTTCTGACATTCTGTGATTCTATGATTTTGAAGGCTTTTTCTAGGGTTTACTTAGACAACAGGCAGAAAACATACAAATTCCAAAATAATACACCAGGGTTCAAGAATCAGAAGTGTGTGCAGTGGGGGGCTGGCCAATGGGCCCATGCACAAGCAGTATGCTTGGCTGATGCAGTCTCATGTGGACTTTGGAGTCTGTGGAAACATTCTGATTCTGGTCAACTAACCACATGCTGGAAAAGAGCTTTTTTGATTGGTTGTGGAGAGGGAACCAGGATACATTCAAAAGGAATTAATTGGCCTAAATGAAGAGATGTGCTCATTCCTGTCTGCATTCAAGTCAGGAGGCAAATACTAAGCCCGGGAGAGAGGCCTCAGGTTGGTTTGGTCTCTGTTGTATCTAATCTTTCCTCGTTTTAAGTGAAGGATCTTGAAGATGACTAATGAACTTCACCAGGTCAGAATGGTCATCCATCAAAGTCTGGGAAACTAGAGTTAATGTGAGGTCTTATGGCTATCTAGCTCAGCAGCAAGTCTTTCAGGAGCAACCTGAGCAACCCAACTCAGCATAGCAACAGCTACACACACTTGGAAGTGAACTTACTGGGATCGATGCTATGTAGAACTGAACCAACTGAACCCTGGTGGCATGGGGAGAGTGTGTCGGTGTGAGGTGGTAGGGGAGGACAGGAGAGAATATTTATACTTCTTGCTGTTTCTTCACAGTAAATATCCCTTCACAGGGAAAAAAAAGCTAATTTATGTTAATTGGTTGAATCAAATTAGGGAGTTAATTATCAGAAGCACAAGAATGGAGCTTGAACTTAATAACACTGGAGAAAGACTTCATGATCCCTCAGGAGGTAACCCTAGAGTCTTGAAGGAGGAAGTATAGCTGACCAGGAGAGTAAGTTCAAACTGTAGTTCCATACATGTGAAAGAAACCTACCCAGCCCTGACATAGGTAGTCCTACATTTTTTAAGATCTTCCATATAGTGACAGATCCCTAGCCAAGCCTGGCCTGTTTCTTCCTCTGCTAGAGATCACACTTCCTCCTAGGCTTTAGACCAGAACAGCATCTTCAACTCCCAAATATTTTCAATTGATTAAATATAGTTTCCAAGTAATCCTCGTAGTCACCTGATGCGAAACCCTGCATGCACCGTGGAATGTGTACATATGCGAGTGAGGGAGAATGTTGAGTATATTCCAAACTCTTTATGGTACACAGAGTCAGCCACCTACTATCTCGCAGTTCCTCCTTTCCTGTGGGGTGATGTTGGATATTTTTAAAAAAACCTCAATGATTTAAACATCACTTCAAGGAAAAAAGTGTAACATTTATGTTAAAAGACAAAATTGAAAGTTTTACTAAAAAAGTTAACATATGGAAGAATAGGGTGGAAAATGGTTCTTTACATTTACAGCTACAGATGATTTTATAATTGAAAATAACCTTCCCAAAGATTTAACTATAAGAGTTATAACTGATCATCTGAAGTGCCTGGAGACACAGTTTCAGAAATGGTTGCTTTCAAATTTTGATCCTAAAGAACTAAACCATAATACATACTCCACTGAAATAAAAAATGTCAGTCATCTGCCATTAAAAGTTCAAGAAGAATTTGCCAAGTTATCAAGTGACACGGGGTCAAAACTTGAGTTTCCTAAAAAAAAAATCGTTAAATGAATTTTAACTTGGGATTAGGACAGAATTTCCAACAACTTCTGAAATGTCCCTAAATATACTTCTACTACTTTGTACTGTACATCTATGCAAAGCAGCGTTGTCAGCATTGACAATTATAAAATCAAAATATCCATTAACTCTGAAAAACATTGAAGATGCTCTACATCCTGCAGTATTAAATATTTGGCCAATATTTAGTTCTTTGCGTAAAAATAAACAAGCACATCCATCTCATTAGCATGCAAATTTGCTTTCATCCTTAATAAATGATAAAATTATATGTACCAAAGAATTGTTTTAAAATAAATTTCTTTATGATTAATTATCAGTAAATGTTTGATTCGTATACCTATTTTATATACCTATATACCTAGAGTCACATAAAAATTTCTCAGGAGAAAAGGAGTCACGAGTGGAAAAAGTTTAAGAAGCCCTGGATTAGAATACACTTTATTCTAATAAAAAATGAAGCAGCGGCCATCTCCTTCCTCCACTGCTGCCACTGCTAGTAAGGTCTGCAAATCTCAGCCTCCCTCACCTAATCTAGCCAGATGCTCACTAGGCAAGTCTCAGTAACTTTTTAGGAAAGATCTCTCCAGAACTGCATTTTCCATGTCTCATGGAGGAAAGAGGATTTTGCTTCATGCCATGCAGTTCTCATAGTAGTTAGGCATGTCTGACATAGGTCACCTCAGCCAGGTGTCCACAGAGTGTTTCTGTGTCATCTCTGGCATCATCTGGCATCACTTCTCAGTCCTGGGCGGGGGGAAAGGAAATACCCCAGTCAAACCAAAACAGAGACTTCCTCCTGAGCTCACGTTGCAAGCAGAAACTCTTTAGACTTTGAGATGATTTTTGTCTCTGGTGTTTTTCCCAGTAAAGTAGACAACTGTCTCAAAATTTCCCCCTTATAGTATGACATTAGAACAGCTTCAGGTAACTGCCTTTGTGTTAAGTGCTCCCAAACAGTTAATATCCCTTTTCTGATTATCTAAGGCACTCAATGATGGCCAAAAAATGAAGGGGAAAACAACAAACGGCAAAGGCTTGGGAAAAGCTGCCACAGTCATATGTTGTTACAAAGAACAGGCAGATGGCTACATAGATGACTGAGTGGATGGATGGATACATGAATAAATCAATATATGGATGGATGGATGGATAAATGTACAAAGGAATGGATGTGTAGGTGGAATGTACATATAAATGGATAAGCAAATCGAAGTACCAGATTTAAATCTAGAAAGGCCCATTGAGATTATCTAGACTAATCTCCCATTTTATAGGTGAAGGAAACTAAAACACAGAAAAGTTAAGTGACTTTCCCAAGTAAGTACCAGAGCTGAATACCAAGTCATCCATATCTCAATTCAGTTCTTTTTCCATTAATAACAGTAACATTTAGTGATTATAGAGTATTTTAAGGTTTGTCAAGCATTTTACCAATATTATTTCATTTAATCCTCACAATAGCCTTGTGAGGTAGGTGCAATTATTACCCCCATTTTACAGATGAGGATACTGAGGATGGGAGAGGCTAAGTGACTTGCCCAGGGTCACACTGCAGGTTAGTGTTGGAAATAGGATTCAAATTCAGATCTTCCTGACTGCAAATTTAACTATATCTAGTTACACAATGGATGGATAGTTGAATGAGGAACAGAGATTCAGAACAATTTCTAGGTTTTATTATATAACAGCATAGTTTTTGTGGAGGGTCCAAGGTGAACCAGATGTTAAAGATGAGTAAAGCCTGACCAAGCCTCCTCATTGTCTGCAGCCCAGGAAGCCGGAGGTCACATTCCGAGGTGGAGGAGGGGTTTTGGCAATCTTGAGTTCCTCAACATCTCGGTAACGGTATGCATTGGGGCCAGTGACCAAGTAGAGCTCATTAGGTCTGCACAAAGCCCCATCCACATGGTTATGGGGTATGAAAGACTCTGTCCATAGGGCCTGTCCACCCTGAGTGAGGTCAAGCTGCCACATCCGTCTTCCTGTAAGAAAGAGACCAAGCATCCCATCAACCCTCATGGAGATTCCTCTCTGTGCTGGAGGATCCCACTATGACCCAATAGATGATATTACAGCCCCGGGGACCCTGACACAGCTCAGGAGAGACCAATATAACACAGGAGGTCCCTACACAACCCCACATTGAAGAAAAGCCTGATATCACTTGAGACAGCCTGGCTTCAAGAAAACCTTTCATAGCTGATGAGACAGTCTGAAAGAACCTCTTGCACCCCATCGCTCCAACCACCACACGCATCTACACATACACAGACACCCCACTAGCACCCTGGGCTCTCACCAGAGATAATGTGGAGCTGAGATGAGCCAGGGCAGGTGAAGGCAGCATCCACAGAATCAAGGTTGATCTCATAGGGGCTTCCCAGTTCCTTTTGCAACGTCCGAGGATACCCATCCACTAGACGGTAGCCCCCATTTGTCAGGAAGACGTAGATCTGGGTGCCCTGTAGGGATTGACAAATTGGTGCAGTGCAGACAACCATAGACACAAGATCTAGACTTTCCTTCTGACCCTTCCCTGGTATCCCTTTGGCTTTCTTCAATTCTTCTCCTCTGCTTTCCTATGGTCAATACCTCAATCAGATATAGCTTTTTCTCCCAAGAGAAGGCAGCATCCACACTTGAGGGTCCCTTTGGCCAATGGTGTGCAATGGGCCAGCTATGCCAGCCATCCCTCCTTGAATCCAGACGCCAGTAACTGGAACCTTCAGGGAATATTCATAGGAGGAAAAGGATACATATGAGATCATAGGCACGACATATGAGAAGACACAGAACAGTAGGGATGCTGGCCATGTGTTGAATATGGCTAGGAAGCACATATGGATTGGAAAAGCATTTTTAAGCACTTAATGTGAGGGCTAGGGGACATGAGGATGGGGAGTCATACGACATGGGGACAGGGGAAATGTAAGATGATGCTAGGAGCACAGGCAGACATGGGAGGCCATGGGGATACAAGAGATACAAGGAACAAAAGGGAAATAGACAAACATATCTGCCTAGATTCCGAGGTAGCACAGAATCACCTCAGCGGCCATCTGGTCCAGTGCATGCAGGCCGAAATAAGAATCTCTTCCAGGTGACCATCCAACTTTTGCTCAAAAACCTCAACTGAAGGAGAACCCACTACCTGCTGAGGCCTGTCATCATACCTGTAGATGTTAGATGTCTTCCTGGGTAATTAGACAGCTGAACTTGGAGTCAGAAAGACTTGAGTTTCAATCTCAACTCACTTACTTAGCTATGTGACCCAGAAAAAGTCACCTAACTGCTGCCTGCCTCAGTTTCCTCATCTGTAAAACATGGATAATAATAGCACCTACCTCCTGAGGTTGTTGTGAGGATCAAATGAGATATCATTATAGCTCTTTGCAAACTTTAAAGCCCCAGATAAGTACCACCTGGCTATAGCTCTACTTGTTAGCACTCTTCCCAACCTAAAGTTTAAATTTACTCTTCTCTGTTTTCATCCACTGCTCCTACTTCTGCCGTTTGGAGTAGTCCCAAAGTGAAAAGGGCAGGCTAAGGAGGTAGCAAGTACCCTATCACTGTAATTGTCCAACTGGATGCTAAATAACCACTCAGTAGATGCTGTGGAGAGAATTCTTAGTCAGTTTTGCCCTCTGAGAGCTAACGATACTGGAGTTGTCTGTCTCTGGACTTTCCCTGGCTCTACCCCTTGTATCAGTAGCAGAAAGGCTCTTAAAGAGTCTCCTCCAGCCTCCAACCTCTGGCCTCCTTGGGGACTGGGGTAACAATTGCTTTGGCACTTTGGCCTCTGCCCTAAGGGAAATTATAGCCAAGAAAAATCTGTTTCAGACTGGTTGGACCACTTAGATCAATTAGAATCCAGTTTTATTAGAAGCACCATCCCTGGGCCTTTGATTCTCACAAAAATTTTGACTTTAGGACAGAGGCTGGAGTAATGGGATGGAAGGTGAGGACTGACATTTCTTTGCAGGAAATTGTTCCCCAGTAGGGAAGGTTGACAATGACCTAGAAAGGATCTTGTCTATGGTACAGTAGGAAGGGCACTGCATTTATAGTCAGAGAACCTGGATTCATATTATACCTCTGCCAATTAGAGTGGTTCAGGGGAAAGTGAAGATTTGGAGCCAAATGAATAGGGTTCAAAATCTGGTTCTGCAACTGCTTGCCTGTGTGACCTTGAGCAAGTCCCTTAAATTATCTGGGCCTCAGTTTCCTCATCTGTAAAATTAGGGGGTTGTACTGGATAGTCTCTAAGCTCCCTTCTAGCTTCAAATCTGTGATCCTATGTGTCTTCTCTGTATGGCCCTAAATAGATTATCTCACTTTTCTGGACTCTATTTTCTTCATCTGTAAAATGGGAGAGGGGAGGAAAGAAAGAGTCGGACTCGATCACTAAGGTCCTTTTCAACTCTAGACTGCCTAATCTTGCATCTCATTTGGTACCCTGATTTGGGGAAAACTGAGCAATGGATTCATTCCTCTCTGACACAGCAATGAGAGGCCAAATTGGGAATATAACCCTGGCCTTCAGGAACTGTTACATTACAGCAGCCACAGTGGCTGTCTTTTTATTCACATGCTCAATGAGACCCAAGAATATAGGAAATAATAAAATGATTTGCCTTTTCTGTCTAAAGTCATGAATGAGAGAGCTAAATTCTGAGCCATGGCCTGGGAGAGGGCCAGGCTCCCCTCTGAAACAAGCATGTTTTGTCAGAGATAGAAGGACCTTAAATACCAGCTAGTACAATTCCCCAGACCCAATCCCTACCAATGTTATGTTATTCTTGAAGAAACTGAAAGAGGGAGAGCTAGGTGATGCAGTGGATAGAGCACAGGCCTTGAAGTCAGGAGGACCTGAGATCAAATCTGGCCTCAGATACCTATGAGCTGTGTGACCCTGGGCAAGTCACTTAACCCCAATTGTCTCCCCTTCTCCCTCCACCCAAAAAAGGAGAAGAAACTGGAAGTAAAGACTTGCCACGGTCACGTAGATAGCAAATACCTGAAGCAAGATTCAAACCCAGGTCCTCTGACTGCACAGGCTGTGTTCTTTTGTGCCCTCACTCTGCACTCTAGGATCCTCTGTATCACTGAGGTGTTATGCTATCTCCCCTACTGGGCTCATAGCAAGGAGGCAGGGGGGACACAGCTCTGTGCATAGAGAAGCAGGCTTTGCCTCTGCCCCTGGAGAGATAGGATGCTCATGAGATGGGAAAGATGAAGCAGAGAGATGGCCCAGAGCAAAGAAGACTTCACTCAGAGGGAAATGTCTTCTCTGTGGAACTGAGATCTCCTCTGTCCCATGAGGGGTAGGGGGTATCTGATATTCTTCCCCTAGTTGTCCCATAGACAGAAGAAATACAAACCCTCTCTCTCTCTCTCTCTCTCTCTCTCTCCTCTCTCTCTTCTCTCTCTCTCTGTCTCTCTCTCTTTTGGTGAGGTATTCAGGGTTAAGTGACTTGCCCAGGGTCACACAGCTAAGTGTCATATGTCTGAGACTGGATTTGAACTCATGTCCTTTTGACTTCAAAGCCAGAGCTCTATCCGCTGCACCACCTAGCTTCCCCAGAAGTACAAACTCTCAGGAAACCTCAGGAGCCAAGGCCTGTGCTGAACTGAGGATCAACTTAGGGGGTAGGAGCCAGGGAACTCATTCCCTGGTCTTCTCCTTTGAAGCTGAGTCCTAGGAGAGAGAACTCAGAAGAAAGTGTATTTGGAACCCTCAGCAAATGATAACTGAGAAAAGAGCTGAGCAATCAGGAGACAAAGGATGGGCATGGAGAACTAGCCCTGGGTCAGACTGCTCTCCCAGTGGCATGGGGCCTAGAGTCCATAAGGAAACAGGGAGGATGTGTGGAAGACTGACTCAGAGAGGGACATAGAGGGACAAAATATGGGTGGGACACACAGCACAGGCACAGTGGGATCGTGGCGAGAGACTGGGGTCGGGGTGGGAGGGAGAAGTTCCCCAATGAGGTGTCCTGGGGATGGAGGATGGAAGGAAAAGCTAAGGACAGAAGATGGATGCCAAAGATAGGGGAAGAGGCCCAGAGAGAGGTCTTGAACTTAGGAATGGGCAAAAAAAAAACCCCTAGAAATAAGGAGGAACCCCAGGAATTAGAAATCCTAGCAATACCAGGTTAGACAAGTCCCTACAATAGTGGAGGGGGCCCAGAAATAGGAAAAAAGTCATCAGGGAGGCTTGTATTGTCAAGGTTCATCTCTCACCTACAAAGCCATACGTGGCGCCATGGTCATCAGAAACAAAAGCAGAGAACACTAAATCCGGTCTGCAAGGGGTCATAGATCCATTCCTCCGTGCATGGCCTGAGTAGAGGAGGTCACACATGTGCAGGGGTCAGGTTGAGGGTCAAGGAGGGTGTTGGGGGTTTCTTGAGAGCTGTGGGGTGAAGGATGGGGGCCCAAGGGAGGAAGATAGTCTGAGGCTGGGACAAGGAAGGGAAGTTGATGAGGTCATAGAAGTAATAGGACCAGATGAAGCCACGGAGGTAAAAGGATGTGGGGGCCAAGAAAAAACATAGAAGTCTTGGGGTCAGCAATCAGGTGTTCAGGAGACAGGCAGGATCATGGGATCAGGGAGAATCAAAGTGGGTAAGTTTCATACCTCTCCCAGGGCAAATCATGAAGTAATCTTGGACATCACGGGGATAATGTTGGGGCACTTCCCCTGTCGCAGGGTCAAAGCGTAGGAATTTGCTGCCCTGGAAGCAGTAATAGCGGCTAAGCCAGCGCAGGGCAGAAGAGCATTTCAGGTGTTGCCACGGCCGTTTCTTCACCTTTCCAGTGCTCAGGTCCAAGAACCATGTCCCATTACCTGCCAATCCCAAACCCCACCACATCTGTCAGGGACAGCCACCAGAATCTGTCAGGGACATCAGGGTCCCCTCTGTCTGTCAGAGATACCCTCCTACATCTATCAAGGTCACCTTCATATCTGTTATTGACATCCCCTAACATGTGGTAGGGCTCTGCCTAGACCCCTCCTCGTATCAGTCAAGGTCATCAGACCCCACTCCCCAAGCCAACCTTGGAAGAAGAGAATCCCCTCTTCCTGGCATTCCCCAGGGTGACACTCCACAGTTGCATCCAGTGGGGCTGGGATTCCAGGGAATTCTTTCTGGAGGGGCTTCGGGTACCCAGACTTCAGCTTCCCAGCGATGTACACCCAGACCTGATCACCCTGACACATACACGCACAAAAATACCCTCAGTCTAGCTGTACCTTCAAACCATATGCCCTCTCCTCTATGTATACATAACAGAGAAACACAGACACACACATTCTTCTTCATTGTGTCCTCGTGGGCACTGTTCTAATACACACAGCTCTGCAGGGATGAGAGGCTCTGCTTTTTTGATTCTCTCCTCTGTCCCTGTTAGTTCCCATCTCCCGTGGCCCTCCCAGCTTTCCTTTCTCTTTTGCCCCCCTCTGCTCGCCCCCACCTATTCTACCTTGATCAAATGTACACCATCATGGAGCTCAGGCCTGGCTTTGTGGTGCAGACGGAAGGCAGCATCCACAGGGCCTTTAACCTCTGGCCAGGTTTCTGAGATCAGCTCCCGGAATCCGTTGTGATTCTTCCATACAGACTCACCTGATAGTGGTGTGGGAAAGGGAAAGAACTCACATGGGGTCCTAGAGTCTATCCTCAAGGGACTTTCTCAAGATAAAAGACCCAAGGATAGTTTAATTCTCAGGACAAAAAGGCTCCATCCACAGATGGGTCACAATTCCCCATTCCTTCCTCTCTTCCCCTGAGCACTTCATCTTTAAATTCCTACATATCTGAACCCTGAACGTTTTATTTCTGATCCCCAAATAGCTTCATCTTCACCCCAGAAACATTCAATCTCTAACCCTCAAACGTATCTATGACCCTCAAGTGCTCTCATCTTTGACTCCATCTTGGACCTGCAAACACCAATATCACAATTCCTAACCACTCTGATCTCTAACCCAGCCCTAAAATCTCCATCTCTTGCCCCCAAATGCCCCAGCCCTGATGCCCAAACCTTTGAAGAAAATCATGTTCCCAGAGTCATCAAAGGTTACCGCATCAAAACCCCAATCCTCAGAACAACGGCCTAGCAAGGAGAGACAAAATCAGGTGTGAGGGGTTATAGAAATTGCTGTTTGTCCTTCATTCTCAAAGAGAACCATGACATTAAGAAGGTGGTGTCTTGATTTACAAGTGAATTGGATTTCAGTGAAGCAGGGCTGTGCAAGGTCACCAGCCTCACTCTCTCCTGAAAAGCCATGTGGGTCCTGTGGCAAGATATAGATCAGGACAACTGGAGATGGCCCCCAAAGGCGGCATAAGAGAGGTTGATTGATTTACTTATTTATAAAAATACAGTGAGATGGGGACAGAAGTGAAGGCAGGCAGACAGACAGAAAACTAGATAGACAGACATACCAATAGACAGGCATAAATAGACAGGTATACCAATAGAGATGGACAGACAGATTGGAGGCATGAAAACTAGGACAGAGAAATAGACTGGCAAATATGTAGATAGACAGCTAGGTGGATATTCAGATGAGTGAAGAGACAGAGAGCTGGAGAGACTCAGAGATGAGGACAGACAAACAGACACGGTGCCCTCACCAATCTCATCCTGGTGCAATTCTGTTCCATTTTCCCTTTCAGTTCCTGTCTGCAGCTGGGGGACCCTGGAGAGAGATCAAGGCTCTTGAATCCTAACCCTAACCCTTCCCTACAGCTCCAATCCTTCCCTTCACATTTCGCTTGCACCCTTTCCACCCTTCTCTCTAACATACCACCCCCACTCGCTCAGGTACCCTCCCTAACTGGCTGACTCCCTGCACTGATCATACTCACAGCGGGTGAGCAATGGCCAAAGCCCAGCACAGGCCCAGTAATAGCGATATTCCTGGGGCCTTGGTCATGCTGGCCGCTACAGAAGATGCAAGAGGGCAATGGGGAACCTGGAGCCCTGGAAACCATATATAGTGCAGACGAGATTACGACACTTCTCTACCCTCCCCCCACACCGACCCAGTGCCCCTGACTCGAACATGCCTCCCTCCCTACCCTCCCCAAGTCCGGGATAAGATCCGTGATTTCATCACTGTAAACAATGAACCAAAACTGGGAAGCAGGGGCCTAGGAAATTCCTTGCAGAGATTTCTCTTCCCCTCTTTTCCTCCCCTCCCTCCCACAGTGGCTTCCCCATTCCCTGGGTACATTGTAAAGGTATAGGAATGCTGTCATGGCCTTGTGTATGAAAAATGCCCCCTTCACTTGGTGGAGGAGAGAAAAAGAACAGGAAGACTAGGTTACTCTGTCAATTAAAGAGCAGCAAGTGTCTGATCTCAGACTTGCTCTTTCTCACCTAGAAGGATGCAGGCTATTTATTGATCTGCTCCAGGAGACTGGACTCTGAAGGAATACCTTCATGCAGGGGTGTGCTGGTAATGTTTAACAATTGGCTCTCCAAAATGTGTCCATGACATACTTTTAAATTTAATCTTCATTATTAATGTTTTTCCATCATTTTCTTAAGTACAGATAATCAATAAAGCAATAAATTAATCCCTAATTCATAACATTCTCTAAATCCCAAGGTGCAAATCCTCACTCTGAACATTTAACAATCAGCTGGCTCCAGTATACCCTTCATGGGACTGATATTTTCCAAAGCACCCCCAGTAGACTGGTGTATACAGGATGGCCTTAAGGGGCCAAGATATCTCAGATGCTCTCGGTAGGTCTAGAATATATCTGTCTGAGGAGAGAGGAGTATCTGGCCAGAGGACTCAGCCTGCTCAACAGGTTTTAGAAATAGCAGAGGCACAGGATTAAGGCATAAGATAAGGGCCTTTTGTGAGTATGTAGGAATAGGGAAGGGGTTGTCTAATTATAGGGTTTTCTCCCGTAATCTTTATGAACAAGATGGAGAGAAGTAGATTAACTGATAGCATAGTTGTATAGATTCAGAACTGGTTGAATGATTGTAAAGAATAGTTATTTATGTATTTAGGTCCATCTACAGGGAAGTCTCTAGAGAAGTGCCTGTCCGTAGTCCTATCTTGTTAAATACACACAGACATACATATACATATATACACGTGTGTACATATATATGCATATACATGCATGTGTGCATACCAATGACTTACTCAAAGTATATATCCTTAACTATACTCAATGACTTACTTACATGTATATGTATGTATATCAATGACTTACTCAAATATAAAGGTTGGGGGAGGGAGGGGTACTAAACCATACATAAGGATCCTTGTGGGCCACATTGACTTAGAAAAACCACATAATTATATCATCTATGTTTTATTGTATCTTTCTTTATTTTGTTAAACGTTTCCCGATTACGTTTTTATCTGGGTCTAGCCACACTCAGGGGTGCTGTGGGCCAGATGCCACCCATGTATAACAACCTCTGACTTATGGCTTGCTTAGTAAATTTGCAGATATCAAGCAGCTGGAGAAGCTTGCTAACATGTTGGAGGACTGAGTTAGCATAACAAAGAGATCACAACAGACTAGAATAATATGCAAACTTGGTAAGATTAAGTAATTCTTTTTTTCAATTTAAAGTCCTATGCTTGCTTTCCATGTCACAAGTACAATATGGGGGAGGCGTGGTTATATAGAAGTCTGTCTGAAAAGAACTAGAGGGAAATCAAAAGGAATCAAAAGTGTGACGTGGCAGGAAAAAAAACCCTGGTATTCACTCAATCTGACATTGTATTAGGAGAGACCAGAACAAGGAAGGTAAGGGTCCCACTGTTTTCTGTCCTGGTTACACATCTACAGTACCATGTTCAGTTCTGGCCACCACATATTAGGAAGATAATTGATAAACTGAAATGTGTCTAGAGGAGGAACACCAGGATGGTGAAGAGTCTCAAAATCATGCCATAGTGGGATCATTTGAATCAGTTGGTTATGTTTACTTTGAAAAAGAAGAACCTTAGAAGGCAGCTGATAGCTATTTTCAAATATCTGAAGGATTATCATGAGGAAGAAGGATTCTGTTATTCTGACTGGCCCCAGAAGGGAAAACCAGAAACGAAGAGTGAAATCTATGTAGGGAAACCAGTGAAGTTTGTATCGGTCAGAATGCAGCCTGCGAGTCAGTGATTTTGTTGCTGGCAGATATGCATAATGAAATCTGGAATGTGGAATAAGAAAGAGACAGATGGCTCTGCCATCTTCCTCTAGCCCTTTAGTTCTTGCCCTTGAGTTTATTTGCATGTCAATCATGGGAGCTGGGGGGGACCTTAATGATTCAGTATTCATAAAACTCCAGTGGAGTTTTTTGGCTAGAGTCTCTAAACTGGGTTTGGAGGAAACAAATTAACCACGTGGGATTTAACAGAAGTTAAAGAACTTTCTGATCCTAGTTCAGTAGATAACTGAGACCCAACACCGGGAATCAGCACCAGGAGAGTTCAAAAGAATAAATGTAATCTTAGCCTAGGGCATTCTGCTGGGCTTTGCTGATTGCCTGATCAGGCGTGATGACTCAGAGATCAAAGCTATCTGTAATTTCAAAAAGCTTTAACCCTTCCTGGCCATGGTGGGGCTTATAAGTTGCTTTTCCCCAACAGATGACAGCAGGGAGCAGCAGATGGCCCTAAAGAAGGTGAAGACTAGCAGATGGTGGCAGAAAGTAGATCAGCAACCAAGAGTCCAATGGAGATAGCCATCAGAGAGCAGCATGACAGCACCGGAGATGTTATTTGATGCACCCTGACCATCATGCCCCCAGGTGTGCCAATTCACGTACCCTAGCTAAGCGTATCTCAGGCCTGCGTGCTCCTTAATGCTTATTTCCTGGCCATATTTGTCCTCTGTATGTGTGCCCCCTATGTGTGTTCCTTTGTGACGAGTGCTCTCTGTGTATGTGCCCATATGGTAATGTGGTCATCTGCTGGAGGATGTACTCCATGTGTACAAGGGGAAATCTTTATCATCACTTATTTGCTAAGTTGTCCTATGTCTAAATGTCCTATGTTTTAAACTAATGTGTCCTTTCTAATTGGCTCAATAAAAGTGAATATATCAGTGGGGGCCCCATAGCTATGGTTTTTAAAGGATGCAGACAAACATTCACAAAGTACATTGAATCTAGGATATCATCCAAAGATGCTCAGATGTGAGGGAGAGTCCAGGATGTTATAGTTACAAAGAAACAGATTTAGTATGAGCTTAAGGAAAACTTCCTAAAAATTAGAAATACCCCAAAGTGGAATAAACTGCTTAAGGAAGTAGAAAGTTCCCCACACCTTTGGCTATCTTCAAGTAATCTTGCATGTGTTATAGACAGGTTTTGTTCAAGCATGGGCTGGATAAGATGACCTCTGAGGTGTCTTCAAACATAAAGATTCTGTTTTCATTTCTAGGTACCACCCTTTAGGAAGAAAAAACTAGAACACTTCCAGAGGACAGCTAAGATGGCAAGAAGCCTGGAGACCATGTCATCCAAGGTTCAATTAAAGGAACTGTTCGTGTTTAACTTGGAGAAGAAAAAAAATTAGGGGAGGCATGACAGATGTCCAGGTTTTTAAAGGTGTGTCATGAAGAAGATGGGCTAAATTTGTTTTATTTGGCCCCAAAAGACAGAAGTAGGAATACTGGGAGGAAGTTACTGAGAAGATAGTTTAGTTTCAATATGAAGAAAGTCTTTTGTTGCAGTGTGTTGTAGCGGAAAGAGAAGTCAGAAGACTTGGATTTGCATCCTAACTCTAATATTTATTAGTTGTGTGGCCTTGGATAAGATCCTTAACTTCTATGCACCTCAGTTTATCCACCTGAAAATGAAGATAATAACCCTTTCCCTATTTATCCCGTACATTGTTGCACATAAAATACTTTGTAAATGCTGTAGAAATGTAAGATATTAGTATGCCAATTGGAATTCCAAAATGGAGTGAGTGGCTTTGGGAGGGAGTGGGATCTATCTCACTAGAGGTCTTCAGGCAAATGTGCTAGCTGTGCCCCACATCTGGACACCTGGGAATGCAGGCATGGGGCCCATCTAGGGGAGGGGGAATGCTCTGTCCAGTCACCTCTGCCTCTCAGTTTCCCAGACTTCCTTCAAACTCAGCTCACGGCCTACCTTCTGCAGAAGGCCTTTTTCAATCTCCCCATAAGATTATTACTACTATTATTATTTTGCTAGGCAGTGGGGTTAAGTGACTTTGTCACACAGCCAGTATGTGTCAAGTGTCTGAGGCTGGATTTGAACTCAGGTCCTCCTGACTCTAGGGCCGGTGCTCTATCCACTGTGCTGCCTAAGTGCCCCCATGAGATCATCTTTCACCTACTCTGTATCTCCTTGACATCTCCTCAGCCTTTGATACTGCTGCTCCCTCTTCTCCTTGATACTCTCTTCTTCAGGTTTTTGGGACGCCATTCTCTCCTAGTTCTCCTCCTACCTGTCAGATGGTTCCTTCTCAGTCTTCTTTGCTGGATCCTCATTCAGATCATACCCTCTAATCATAGGCATCCCACAGGGTTCTGTCCTAGGTCCTCCTCTCTTCTCCTTCTATGCTACTTCACTTAGTGAGGTCATCAGTTCTCATGGACTTAATTATTTAATGCTGATGATTCTCAAATCCACCTATCCTGCCCTAACCTCTTGGTTGATCTACAGTCTTGGATCTCTAATTGCCTTTCAGACAATCTTCAATTGCCTTGAACTGATTGCCCAGTAGACATCTTGAACCCAACATGTTCAAAGCAGGATCAGTTTTTACCCCTAAACCTCCCCCCTCCCACTTCTTAACTTCCACATTACGGTAGAGGGCAACACCATCCTCCCAGTCCCTCAGGCTTACAACCTAGACGTCATCCTCAACTCCTTGCTATTTCTCACTTCCCATATTTAATCTACTACCAAGGCCTGTGTGTTTCTCCCTTGTAGCATCTCATGAATATGCCTCCTTCTCTCCTCTGACACTGCTGCTGTTCTGGTAAA